ATAAGAGCATCCCCGGTAAGTAGGACCCGGCGTCGAAAGCTCCATCTATTGGGGGGGAGCTACACCTGCTGGAAATCTGGTCCAGCGTCCCTATACAATCATGAGACTGTATCTGCTGGAAATCGGGTCCAGCGTCCCTGTACAGTGATGTGAATGTATCTGCTGGAAATCGGGTCCAGCGTCCCTATGCAAAGTTGTGTTGACAGCTCCATCTACCTACGTATGCACGTTGAGCAGTATATGTCAGACGCGTAACCCTAACGAGGATGTGATGAATGTGTGATGTTTGTGATGTTTGTAATGTATGTGTTCAATATCTATCAAAATCAAAACAAAATCAAAACACGAAACTCCAAAAACCGATGTGAAATGTATGATCTTTATCAATCAAGACTCAAGCACAAATCACTATCAGTGATACAATATGTGTGTTCTGGACGTCGAGACCAGCTTCCCTTATGCGAATAACCCGAAACCCTAACAAAGAGGTGATGTGTGTGATCTTTATCAATCAAGCCTAAACACGAAAATTCTATCCCGTTGGTGATTGGTATTACAGGCCGGGCAACATCAATCACCCCCAGCTATCCTACTCCTATCCTCCTCCAAACCACGAGGAGGAACCCCGTATGAAGGCTGGAGAGGGGGAGAGCAGTAAACAACTTCCCTGTATCAACCCCATATCCCACCACGTCCCCTTGCAGCATCCCTCCCATCTCAGCCGCCCGGATGTCACTTCCTACCCCGCTGCTCCCTTGGTCGTGGCCTCCGCCATCGTCGTTGTCGTTGTTATTGTTGTTGTTATTGTTGTCATTGTTGTTGTTGTTGTTGTTGTTGTTGTTGTTGTTGTTGTTGTTGCTGTTGTTGTTGTTGTTGTTGGTGTTGTCGCCGTCGTCCCTATCGTTGAGGGGGAGGGAGATGACAAACCCCTTTTCCGTTCCAACCCCAGTCTCCCCTTCATCCGCTTGCAGCATCTCCCCCATCATGTCGGTGATGTTCGCAACTGGCCGGATACAGTTGTCAGCCCCGCTGCTTCCATACTTGTCACTGTCGTCGTCGTTGTTGTTGATATTATCGTTGTAGTTGTTGTTGTTGTTGTTGTTGTTGTTGTTGTTGATGATGTTTGCGCCGCTGTTGCTGTTGTTAGTGTTCTCGCTGCTATTATCATTGTTACCAATGTTGTTGTCGCACCCATCCATTGTTGTTGTTGTTAATCTTTGGTGTTACCGCTGTTACCTCGTGCGTGTCCTCACGATCAATAATGCCCTCCAGCCGGTCTTCCATAAGAGCATACAGATCGCGACCCTCATTGAAGAGGGTTTTGCAGACTGACATGATGCCATCTGCCCTCCTCCAATCGATGCAGACGTCAAGCTGAGGATCCGGCCCCTCCTCCAGCTCCCAGATGATCGCCAACATGTTCTCACTTTTGTCCTTCATCCAAACAGCCAGAGTGATCGCTCCCCCTTCGACCTCTGGCTCCATTTGCAGCTGCAAGGACATGTCCCTCACAATCTCCTGTAGCCATCTGCCACTCACACTTCTTCGGGTTAATCTTAAATTTCGCCTTTCGCAATTTGTTAAGCACAATTCGAAGGTGCTCCTCATGCTCTTCCAGACTCTTACTAAAAGTCAGTATATCATCTAAATAAACAACAACAAATTTATCAAGCCAATCACGAAACAACTCATTCATACATCTCTGGAAGGTTCCAAGGACATTAGTAAGTATTGCCCGAGGATCAGCACAAAACGGCTTTCCGAACGAGATATGGCCACTATGAGTTCGTGGTGATGCCATTTGGTTTGGCTAATGCCACTGCAACCTTCTAGAGATGTATGAATGAGTTGTTTCGTGATTGGCTTGATAAATTTGTTGTTGTTTATTTAGATGATATACTGATTTTTAGTAACAGTCTGGAAGAGCATGAGTAGCTCCGTTCTCCAAGGTAATCAGCCATTCGTTTGCTCCAATATGTAGCTCCCTCTCCAAATTCTCCTCCATGGTAGTCATGGCTCGCTCAAAGAACCGCGCCACTTTTGTGCAGTAATCCTCCAATCAATCACGGCTGGCGCTTCCCCTGTTCACGCGTCGCGGGGCATGGGGCATCCACGTCACCATTCGACAGGTGGCACTTGGCAAGCTGAACACCACGGCCACGTGTCGGGCGCGTGAACAGGCCCAGCGGCCTGGAGGGGCTCACCTCTCCAGCATGCTGGTCAAGCCGGGTCGGCCAGGCCTCGCCAGTCGCCCGGCGTTAGGGCGCTAGCGCTAGCGTGATTTTCCTCTTTCAATTCACCTTCACTACCTACCTACCACTATTCCTAAGGCTTATACAGGGGACCCCTGCAAACATATAGCTTTGTTGTTTCCCTCCAGCCATCAGAGGGGATGCATGGTGTCCCCCGGCCCAACCATGGTGGTCAAGGATGGGGTGGGCGGCCGCCGGTGGGGGTCCAGCTTATGCAAAGACCGAGTTTTTTTTTTTTTTTTTTTTTTAACCTTTCCCGCGTGGGAAAATAGGGAAAACTGGCAGTTTTCCCAAGCGCCTGAATTTTCGGAGGTCAGGCCCGACGACGACTACCGTTGATAAATCTGATCGGCGGCYGTCATTTCGTTTCGGCCGCTGCAAAGGTCGGATGCCTACCGGAGTCCCGCTATTTTCCAAGCGGCAAAGGTACTGGTGTTGTAGAGGCCAAGGACCAGACCCGCGGTGATTGCTGGTAGCAGCAGCCAATGGTTGTCCTGACAGGATAGGCCACCTACCCTACCCATCCCCACGTTAATACTCCCAGCGCACCCCCTGTCCCTACTATCCTACCTCAGTGTGACCAGCACTCAGGACCATCACCCTACCAGTATTGAGGGCAACTTGGACCAGACAGCAGTGGCAAGCACCAGGGCTGGGCCAACCTCCCAGCCCTTATGGAAGCCAAAGCCGACAAACCTTGCCGTACGGACGCCAGGCTGATGCAATCTTCTACATGCTCAGAGAGTCTACCCAGCAGGATTACCTAAGCAAGGCAGGCCAGTGCCTGCGGACACATCCCACCGTCCTTCCCCTAGCTTACCCAAGGCTAGGCGAACTCAGACTAGCCGGAGCGACTTATATCCCTACCCTACCCTAAAGACCGAGCATTTTGCCAGTAGCTGCACCTCCCTTTTCATCCTCCCCCGACCCCCAACCCAATAACAGCAGTGTCTAAGGCCAACACTCTCCCACACATCACACACAACCCACTCACACTCACACTCACACCC